CCCCTTCCTCCCACAGCGGCCTTCCCTCCCCCTGGAGCCCCGTGTGTCGCGCCAGCGCGCTGGAACACTCGGGACTTTTCCTTGCCACAGCGAGGGAACTGCGTCTGTGTCTCGCGTGCCACGCGGTACCATTTACTTGGCAGTGTCACCAGCTGTTCGGGCCGGTGAAATACAGAGAGTGGACTGCCAGCTTCCCCTGCAAAATTTTCCACCAGTGAAAGGATTCCTTATTAGGGTTAATACAAAGCACAATTTTAATTTACTACCATTTTGTTTTGAAGTTTTATCATGAAACAAATAAAACCCCAAAAGATGTACTTTGAAAGGGATATTTCAAAAAAGAAACCTCCAGAATTAAAAATTCACAGTTTAGAACTAGGCCAATATCAAATTCCTTCAATAACAACATCTCTTCATTTGCCAATTAAAATTGAACATTAATGTGAGCTTAATGTAAATTAATCCTAGAAATGTCATGTTATGTACAGTACAGACTTTACACCCTTGATGCATACTTGTTGAAATCTACTGACACTCATACACTTTCAGAAAAAAAAAACCACAAACAAAAAACAAGCAAAACAAACAAAAGAAGAAAAAAACACAAACAAATCATGTTGTAGAACTGCATTTGCAGCCATAATTTGTACATCAAGTTTCTATTGTTATCCCCAAACAAGCAAGTACACTTCAGAACACGTAAGCTTTTCAGAATGGAGATTTGAATGTTTCCAAAGTATACTGACATTGCTTTTGCTTACATTTTTATAATCAGAGGCCTTCCAATGGTGCTTTCTACATTAAGTGTTATGGGTTAAATTTGTAACAAATGAACAAAGGTGTGGTTTTTTTTTTTTTTTTTTTTTTTTTTTAAATGCAGGTTATAAAACTTGATTATTTTGCTTTAACTGCAGGAAAAATAACATGGAGTTGTTGGATGTAACCCCATCTAGTTATTAAAACAGATGTTTTATATTCTAGCCTAACTGAGGTAGTGTTGAAACTACTGTGTAAGATATGCTAGCCCCCTTTTTGGGAAAACTACATTATTTCCTTTGGAGTTTATACCACTATTTGGTCTACTGTGATTGACATTTTGGTTTTACAGAAGCATTTATTCCTTATGTCCAGAGAAGTCCAATAGTTACTGGTGTGGTATGTTTTCAGAACATTTCACACATGCCTTGACACACAGATGAATTATTTGTGTCACTGACCACAGAAGAGCTGCACTGGTTTCTGTTGGCATTTTCTTTCGGTGGGAACTCATGAAAATATGATCTTAGGAACTAAATTTGGCTATGAGCAGCAACTTATAATCTGCTTTACCAGAACCTGATGGTATACAGTGCACATAAAAATTCAGTGATAGCTGAAGTGATAGCTGCAAAGCAGTGCTTATGTGGCAAGATGAAATTTCCAATAAGAAGAAATAAATTCTACATTTCACTAGGAATTGTGTTTTACTGTTCACAGGACTACTTACTGAAATCTCCAGTAGCATAGCTAGTACGAACAGAGTTAGAAGCATCAGGATAAATTTCACTTATCTTCACTTAAGTATTAATCTGACAATTATAAAAAAGGTAAAAGTGAATGGATAAAAATATGTTCTACTTAGTACAGCCCAGCTGAATTATTCACCTATATCAAAATCAAAGGTAATCCCTTCTATTACAGGCATTCTAACAAAGGTGGCCATGCTACTGTATGTACACATTTGCATATATTTATATTGCCTCTGTGTAAAGGCTTCTGAATCTTCAGATCCATGATGAAAGTGACAGGGATACTTTTTTTTTTAAGCTTGCGCTCATTAAATTTGGAAACCTCACTAGTAACATCATAGAGGCAACTATTTCAGTCGTTAACAGTTACTATATCACTTTACTTCTGCAACAAGTCTTAAATACCAGTATGAAATAAGTACTGCTGCTCCAGAATTTGGTACTTAAGGCTTTTCACTACAATTATTAGTACTATCTGATGCTTGATCACTTATCCTTTGAGAAGTCAAATAAACCTTTGTTTTTATAAAAGGTTATTTCCATGGAACTTGGAAAACACTCATATTATGTTTTCTCACAAAAGCAGCAATGATTAAATGTCTTCAAGTTCAGTTTATACATTATTCACTTATCTGATATAAATCATGCTTTTAAAAGGATTTTAGTTAAGAGTAAGATCAACATTCGTACTATATGAGCATGAGTGTAAAAACTGCAAACACATGCATATCATTCAGGGAACACAATCTGATTTCATCGTTTTAAGTTTAAATGACTTGTTATTTTTAAAATCAAACTGTAGTGAAAATCCTTAACTGCTTCAGATAAGATACATCTATGTAAATGTAATGAAACTGGACAGACTGCTAATAAAATGACTTACGACTATAGCAATATGAAAATAACTTAAAGGAAACCTCAGATTCACAGAGGCTTTTCTTTGTGTCTGCAGTTAAAAACCCCAAGTAGTGTTATAAACAGTACAAAACCCAGCAGAGAAGGGCTAACACGGATCCCCTGGTTCCACGATTGCAGCACGGCTCCCCACCGCTGGCAACGGAAGGCGCCCTCGTCTCCGGGTCCCTGGCACCCGGCTCTGAAAGGGAAGGCAGCATTCTGCTGCTCTGGAACCGAATCAGAAGTCAGTGAAAAAAAGATGTCTCTGCACATCATCCTGTTTGTTTGTTTTTTTTTTTTTTGTTTTTTTTTTAAAATCTATGGTAGAAAATGAAATGAAAACTTGTGGAGGTGTTCAGTGCTTGGCTCTTGCATATACTGGTAATTGCTATTATTAAAACTATAGTAATGTTTAATAACTCCCCAAAGGGCTCAAAAGATTGGGGCAGTAATTGGTTGAGGAAGAAGTTTTCAGTTCAGTCTTCATGTACCAGTAGTTTCCAGAATAGTCTAGAAGATGATGCTCCAAGCTTTTTATCCAGTCAGTCATAGTTGTCTGAGGATTTCAGGAAGTCTATATGCAATGTACTGCACAAGACAGAGGTCAGGATTCAGATGATGTATCAATTATTTGCTGTTTTGTCGGTGCAGCTAAAATAGCCTCTGCTTCTTCATGCATCTAAAACAGAATGATAGGCAATGCTGTTAAGAGATGTTACTAGAGAGATGTCACAAAATGGCTTCCTTTGAGACATATCGGAAAGCATCTTTTGTTCGTGTGAACCCTGCACCCAGCTGGCACATTTCGGTGCACTCAGTGCTTCTGAACCTTTCACTTACTTGTAAGAACTGTACATCCTGAAACAGCTCCTGAATGAACCTTCGAGATGGAAGTCGAAATGTGCAATGTGCTAACAGGTAGGACACCTCAGAGTAAAGGCATATGTCGTCAAATGCTTGGGGATACTTCTCCTTAATTCTGAAAAACAGGAAAAACAAAATTCTGTAAGCCTTAAACAGATTTCCATCAGATTTAAAAACCCCATTCAATTAGATTTCTATTGTCAACATTAAAAAAGTAGAACTCTTCAGTAACAGGCAGTATAAATTCTGGATCTGACAAAGGAAAAAGAAAACCAACCAAACACACATCCAGAGCAGACAGCAATATTTTGTACCAATCTAGAAGATACCTACATCAATGAGATTAAACAGAATATATATTTGAAAGTTGGTACAGAGTTGCTGAGATCACTTGGTCTTAAAATAACAGATCTAGAAAGAGAACACTGTATCAAAGAATCGTCATCCACATGTAATAAAAAAAATATGGATAAGCTAACTTAATTACCTGCAAACACTTCTGAAACTAAACCCAGCATTTATGCATTTTCGTTTAGTAGCTGTATGTCATTTTCCAGTGTCACCACCCCAGAAACCAACAGGTTTTATTACAACGTTTGGTCCCTGGATTATATTCCGGTGTTTTAGCCTGACATTTTCTTTAAATCAATTCCAGTGCTTGTACTCTTTTGCTCAAAGCAGATGTGTTTCTCAAGAAGTTACTTTCAGTTTGTTATTCTGCTGATCTGATGTATATTATTTGGCATAAATAACAAAAAAATAATTATTGTTTCTTTTTCAAAGTTGCGTGGCATACTGTATATGTAATGAAATATCAGAACAGTTGAATTACTGATTTTAAAAAAGACTGGGGAAGAGTAAGAAATTAAAGACAAAGCAAAACGAAAATTCTTTAGCTTTTACATTACATTCAACCGTATCTGCTTGATACTTTGAGAAGTCAGAAGTAAGGCTAATTGCTATCCCAGAGGCCTGAGAGAATACACACCTCTAAGTGTTCTAAAACATCTGAAATGCTTTGAACTTACGTCAGGAGTCCAGTTTCATGGCCCTTCGTTCCCACTGAACTACTCAAATTGATGACTAAACGCAGGACTTCCTTCCGCAGAAGAATCCTGCACACTGGTGTATCGTCTGGGATTGATTTTACACCTGGAAAAGGGTATTACACAGTATGGGCTCTGAACAGAACAGACTTGGATTATGCTTATCTTATGCCATGTGAGTCTCTTTTAGCATTCCACAAACACACACACACGTATTTACATATGTCTTCTGAACCATCAAAATATTTCCATTGAAATTAAAGCTTAAAAAAGTACCATTTTCAGGAATTTTAACAAAGAAATACTTAAAAAAAGATGAACTACCATTTCATAAATGGAAAAACCTGCACGATTCCATTAGAGTGCTCTACCACTAAATCATGTTGCAACATGGGCAAGCGATTACCTACTTTGTTTCTATCAGATGGTCCTGTAGATTTACCAACCAGCTACTTCATAAGAAATTATAATAATTCAAAATGTAAACCACAAAGCCTAAGAAAGAAATGTTCTGTTTACAGAAATTCAGTAATTTTTAACTAACCCCAGTGTGGAAAAAGGGCAAGCAATTTTCTTGTAATGCTGGATACAGAGCTACTTAACCTGCAGAAATGCTGTAAAGCAAAAGCAGAAGAGGTTAGAAGTATGTTCTCTCTTCTGGAGATGGTGGGTGGTTTTGTTCTTGTTCCTTTCCTTTCGTTGTATGCTGTTTATTATGTTATTTCTTTGTTTGGTTTGGCTTTGGTTTTGTTGGGGGTTTGGTTGTTTTGTTTTATTTTTTTTTATTTTTTTTTTTTCATTTAATAATGAGCATTACTTTATTGCAGTACATATAAATTAAGTATTCTTTTTCCACAATACTTAAAATATACTTTAAGAGCTACAGTATCTAAGAATTGTAAGGCTTTCAAACTTACCTAGTACAAGCTCTGTACTCTTGGTGCTGCTAGCTGAACCATGGGATACTGCATCACTACAGCCCGAAATTCCAGAAAATTTGGAGGAATGAACATCCAAGTGATTGTGTATAGTCTGCCCACACCAGTCAGTATATGGAATGTCTGAGAAATCTGACAAACAAAATGTTGCATCTTTGTTATTCACACCTTTCCTCACTTCAAATGCTTTTCTTATTTTCAGGAGTGGTAAGGATGCAAGGCACTGATGCAGTAAGTACTCTGAATATAAACCAGCTGGAAACTACATGTTGGATTTTTGACAAATCATACTCAAAATACCTACAAATTACGTCTTTTGAACCTTAAAATACTCCCGTGAAAATAAGCAACTCTAAGACACTGACGGGAGCCTAGAAACTGTCATCACAGATGAGCTCTTTCTTACTGATACACCCATGCTTTAGCTTTGGTAACACAACAAAGACGTTCTTGCACATGCATAGATATTTTTTTTTGCTCATACAATTATCACAGGTGTTGCACAAAGGGCTCTAACTTCATCAACATGTGACAAGATTATTCTGGGAGTTTTCGCTATCCACAGCCTTTGGTCATTTTGGATTTAAAGAGATGAATATAAAATCCTAGCTTTTAATTGTTGTGGAGTTAACAGAAAGAGAGAAAAACACAGGTGTGAAGGGACTAGGGACATGGTTTAGCAGTGGACGTGGCAGAGTTAGTTTAATGGCTGGATATTGTGATCTTAATGGTCTTTCCCAATCTAAACAATCTAAACAATATGACTCTTACGACAACCACAGATCACCTAGTTCAATCCCTTGCTCAAAGAAGGGTTCAAATCAAAAAGAGATTAGGTTACACTGCGAAGGTTCTTCCCCTGAAGTTCTTGAAGTTCTACTCTTTAGAGCAAATGACTGTGGCCTCGCATCCTCTGGCTGTGTGCCTCTGGCAGGAGCCCGGCTGTGATCCCCTCAAGGCGTTTGCAGACTATAGTTTGGATTTTATTTGCCATCCCTTCTCTAGTACAGAACTCAAGCTCAAACTGAGCAATCTGGGTCACTGCTCACATTCTGTACATCACCCCCCTTGCCAACTGTACTCTATGTGCTACTAGCAGAATATGTAGCTACTAGCTGAATGGTGAGGATTCCTACTCAGCACCCACTAATGGATAATACTTTTATTAAAGACATGGCAAAAAGGCATATAACTGCAAGCTCCATGGAGGAGGTCAGGAAAAAGTAATTCTGAATCTGATCTGAACCTCAAAATCTGATGGAAGATGGCTAAACCCCAGAAACTGCAGATCCAACTTCAGGTCCTTAGATTTTCTTAATTTTGTTTTATATACAAACTTACTTTGAAGTCAAACTTCTCATTGATTTGACAGCAAGGATCAGTTTCCAGGACATGGATTTTAAATACTAAATAAATTTTCTCGTTTTGTATTTTGATGAGCTCTTAGAAATATTTAAAAAACCATGCAGACATCTAGTGACACTACCACCAATAAAAATCAAAAGGCTCAAAATGACCATAGAAATACCACTGGTTGTATGGTGAGCTTATTATGGAGAATTTAAGGTCAATAGTCAGTAAAAAAAACTTTAGAGATTAATCAATTCTAAAATGAACAAAATTCAGTATTTTCATTCAGTTTTACCACAGGGAACACTAACCTGTACGACTGTATTGTATGTTGTTAGGCTGATAACCCAGTATCTGAATGCAGACACAGTAAAGACAGTTCTCATCTGTGTGCTCCTGTAGCCCTGTATCTTCTGTATTTTCTAAAAACTGAGAGGCATCTGAACGGCTGGTATTCATTATTTCTGTGAGACTGATCTGCTGCCGCAGCATCTGAAAAGGGCTTTTGACATCGCTTGCACCCGACGGAAGACCTGCAGGTGAGCAATTACACATCAGAAAACAGACAACACAAAACCAAGCAACCAACATTATTTCAATTAAATTTCTCATTTTGAGCCTTTTAAGGATGGGAAAGGGGTACTTGTGTGACAATCTAGAAACTTTTTTTGAGCGGTTAAACTCCCAAGGTTTTTAGCTTTCAGGAAACAGACATCATATTTTAGTCCCTGCTTATCATATATAACAAAACTTCGCAAATTTAAACTGTATTTAACCTCTGAACAATCACACTGGCTGGAAAATAACAAATAGTATTTTGAAGAAGTGTTACATTACACCAAAACTTACCAAACTACAGAAACAAACCTGCAGGAAAATAAGCTTTATATATTACATTAACCACACAAAAAAGAAAGAAATTAAAAAAATAACTAGGGTGTGTCTATCCAGATGTTCAAAGTGCTTGTAATAGAGTTACAGTTCACTAGAAGGCAAGGCAACAGCTACTCTATACCATTTTAGGGCTAGTTCAGCATTAGTTCAATTATTCTTTTTTATTTCTCCCACTGAAAAGAAACATGCTGATGACTTGCAGATTTCCGACTACTTTGGAGTAAAAAGGAGACAACTCAAAACCAGCCAGGTGTTACAGAGCACTTGCAATTCTCTTGTAACATGTCTCACCACCTCTGCTGATCAACTGTCATGGAAATATCACAAAGTAAAAATTTACTTTCTGAAATACACACCTTTATCAGTACCTATAGATTTCATGTGCTATCAAAGGGAAGTTAAAACATAACAGGTCAATGTGTGGCAAACACATTTTATGTTAGTTTAAACTCTGTCACCTTCTTTAACACAGTATCTCGACCAGTCTTTGATTAGCATTAGCACATACTGTACTCCAGCATCTGTTGATCTTCTTCCTTCATTTATTAGGGCAGGACCAAGCTTATGCCACTCTGAAGCAACACCACATTATCGCAAACTAAATAAAACCAGGAGTTAATGACCTGTTATCCTGAATCCAGAACACAGCTCTCAAAACTTAACAGCTAAATATAACCTTTTCTGTAAAGAAAAATCAAGAGATGAAACAACAACCCACATCACTCAATGTATAAATATACGACAGAAAGACACAGAAACAAAATCAGTACCTCCTGCATCAGGTGCAAAGACCTTAGCTCCACGGTCATCAAATGGAGGTGTGGTCTTTTTCTGGAAATATGGAGTTTCCTTCACCTGGAATATTCAAGTGAAAATTTAAATTGGCACAGGTGCTCATCATATATAAAGGAAAAATAGATTTGATGAAGAAGTAAAATATTGTCCATTAGAAACAAATAGAGGAGGACATTAAGAATGGGCTCCTGAGTACTAAAGAAAAGTCAGTGAGAAAAACATGCATATGTGAATGAACATTTATTAAGCAAGACTCATGACCAGTCTGTAAATGTTAAAACGGTGGTGACAGGCTGGTGACAGGACAGACCTTGGGATAGCAGTGCAAAACCACCCAGGACATCAAAAACGTTGCATGTAAGATGTTGTAGAGTTGCCACATGTCTCAACTTTACAAAAGTAGAGAAATTAGAAATGAGGCAATATAAATATGCCACGAAGACTGTGAAGGAGAAAATAAAAACTCAAAGGGGATAAACAGGGGAACAGAGGCAGGTATGATGGAAGATCTTGCCTTTGCTTTAGCTTTAGTAATTTTTTGAGACCAGTCAGAAAGCAATTTAGGTTTGAAAGGCAAAGACTAAGCTAAACTAAAGATAAGGAAGCTCACTGATCTACCTCTGACATAGACCATGTTCTATTTTCAATAATTAAGTAACAGAGTTTTAAGCCTTCTGATGCATCAGCTTGTTAGATAGGAAAGTACTTTAACCAAGTAGAAGGAAGGCAATTGCTAAGACTCAATCTATTTTAACTTAAATAGTAAATTAAGACAATAAACGTTTTGTTGATATATATGCAAATACACTAAGACTTAATATCATGGTAACAGGATGTTAATTGTGATTATGTACATCATTTATGGCTGACCAACGAACATACTAATTAATTGGCTAAAGAGGCTTTAGCAACTGTCCAGAGACTATGCTAATTTTAGTATAAAGGCCAGCTGTCAACTAAAAAAAAACTTATGACAGCATATTTATGTTATTGTTGTTTAACATTCTAGCCTAGCCTGTGTCATTATTTGCCCCATAATATAAAACACACTAGCGATTTTCTGTAAACAGGGTTAGAAAAGAAGCTGGTTCTCCAAAAATGCATTCCTTGCACGTACATCTGTTTTTCCTCCTTTCTCTAGATCTATTCTGATGAAAAGGCAACAGCTGACAACCTTGCAGTATGAAAATACAAGCAAACCCAGTAAGTTACCACATACACACCTGAAATATTTCATTGATATCCACTGGGAGAGCGAGGCCAATGTAATCATCAGAGCTACCATAGGTAGCATTGGAAACCATGGAGCGAACAGAAGAGGAGCGCTGAAGTGTGTTTTGGTTAATAGGACTTAATAAATCTTCTTTATCTAACGAAGCATAGCTTAAAGCTTTCATGAACCTGCAACATTGAAATAGTAAGTCACACTCTTGGTAAAGCTCTCATTCTGGCACATGAAAAGCAAGGACTGCTGACACAAAGACTATCCTCATCTTCCAGCTGTAGAACCCAGAGCTTGTTACTTCGTCAAATTACAGCTATACACTCATTGCTTTTTTTCAGCCTTGTATTGCACGGTTTGGCAGTTCCTTGGGTAAGAATTTTTCCTTTGAAAGTCCTGGGCTAGGGACTTCAAAGACTATGAGATGGAACTTCTGCTTGAGGGGCTGCCAATGTTCAAAACCACAAATTTTCTCCAACTTATTTACAGCCCACACATGGTCAGCAAACATTCAGGCTTTTAAACTGCTAACTGCCTCATTTTGAAACGTACCTATATGCTGAACATAACCTTCCCTGGATACTCACAAACTCTGAGCTGAGCAGGCACGTGCCTACAAACACAGAGTCTGAGCCTGCTAAGGTACCAGTGATACAAGCAAAAAATGTTTTTTTTTTCCTGGACTCCCAGGAAAAGGAGCTACCCATTAGGTCACCGAGCACAGGGGCAGAATTAGCTCAACATGAATGCACAGAGATCAAACCTGAACCTGCACAGTGCGCAGAGCTGACTGTGACAACCAGCCTGAGAAACAAAGACAGGCACCTCAGGAACACTGAATATTTTTTTTAATTATATAACTGTAATTTTTTCTATGCTGGGAGGTAAAGTAAACATTTGATTCCTTGATTTTCTGCCTTAGAAATAGCTTTCTATATTTTGTTTGCTTGTCTGAGATAGGGATAAAGAAGACATTTTAATTGCCCAACAGATTCATACTGAGATAAAACTAAATTACTAAGGTTTGGCCATGTAAGGTTCAAGACATTATCATCATGTGATGGAAAGGTACACAACACAAATGCCAGGACATCAATACTTTCTTGTTACTAATTCTGGCCAATGCTAATGACAGCAGCAGTGGACTTACAATAGAAATCAAGCCATAATTCAAGAACAATGAGAGGAAATGGTCTCAGTCTGCACCAGGGGAGGTTTAGGCTAGACATTAGGAAAAAGTTCTTCACTGAAAGAGATGGCAGGCCCTGGAACAGGCTGCCCAAGGAACTGGTGGAGTCACCATCCCTGCAGGTATTTAAAAGATGTGTAGATGTGGCACTTAGGGACATGGTTTAGTGGTGGACTTGGCAGTGATGGGTTAATGGATGGACTCAGATTTCCAGCCTAAAAGATTCTGTAATTCTAAACCCCAAAGACTTACTAACTGCACTAGTTATTTCATAATAAAGCTTTCTACAGTTTCTCTCAACATAAAATCAAAGAAAGAAATATTAACCCTAAACATTTGTTTACATAATTGGACTCCTCATCTGGCTGGTTCCATCTGCCACAGCATGGTTCTGGAGTCAGCTCACTCCCTTCTTCACACAATATGCTGCGTGTGCGTGCATTAACTTATTCCCTCCTCCAGTGGTGGGCCACCTTGGATCTCTGGTGTATAATTTAAGAGCGGAGGGAGGACTTTGGTTGCTGCTTTGCCCATACTATCCTACATTGGGCAAGTGGTCAGCAGAAGACACACAGAGTCTCAGGATGAAAGTCTGCTTCAGCAAGGCTGCTTTGGGTATCAAGGACACGACTGCAGGGAATGGTACAACATTAGTACAGCCACAGTGGAACCTGTACTGTCACTGCAATGACACTTATTTTCCTGCATTAGTACAGGAAGCCAATGGTGGAGCAAGGAAGAGCACTTTTGATGTCCAGCACAGTACAGCTTAACTACTGAATTGGCATGCTCAGCCTAGTTCTAGCTTAATTGGAAAAAGGAAGCAAAACTTATCTTTTATAGCAAACTACATATTTGCAGAATTATGCAAAAATATCAACAACTGAATGTTGATCTTAATCACGAAAAAAATGCATGGAAATATACAGGCACTATATACAGTCAAGTGGGTATGTCAATGCAGTGAAGAAATGACTCATGTTCACCCCTTTCTATCATCTGAGAGAAGATGTTTAGGTTATAACAGGGATAGAAAGTGTCTTTTAATTTTCAATAGTAATGTAGAAATCTAGTGCATAGCTGAAAGATGATTTGAAAGGAAAAATTTGGTAAAAGAGCTTTTAAGTGAAAGTTCCTACGGATTGACTGTAGCTGCTGGGAATAGTGTCAAAGTCATGAGCTAGATACCTTATGTAACTATCTGATCAGTCTTCAGAACATCTACTAGTACTCAGAACTAAAGAGGTGACACTGCCATCTAAAAATAAATGCGACAAGTAAAAACTGACAATTTTATCAGTGGTACCAGGATCTCATCACGGGCCTCAATGCCACGGTTAACACAAATAGAGCACACTGGCAGGAGTCCCTGTCATAAAACCTCACCAAGTGACAGCTCTGACTACATGGGCAATTTTCCGTGACTGCAACTTTAGTCATGTTAGCAGTGTTACTGCATTTAAATACTAAAAAAATGAAACAGGTTGCAAATGTGGTAGAAGGAAACATTTCCCTTTGCCACAAAAAGCATTAAAGGGGTTGAACACAGCTTTGAAAGCCAAGCTTGACAGCACTTAAAGTTGAGAATTCTCATTATTTTATATATTTTAAAACTGTATACATTATAAAATTATATGATTCTTCTCACATTGGTACTGCTTTCAGCGAAGGCATCACCCTGCAACAACTGTCACTTTTAGTGAAGTTGGAAAAAAATCAGGTAGACATCTTTCCTATTCAATTGCTCGTACAGCTTTGGAGTAGGAAATGAGCAGGTAAGAATCTCTTACCGGCTTTTTTTTCGTTGCCAAGAAAGTCAGCCGAGAATCCAGGCTGCCAGACTTCATGGTGATGGTGTCCGTGAAGAGCACGTCCTTGGCGGGAGACGCCAGGGCTTCCGAGTGGGACAGGGAAGGGTGCATCCTCTGCTGCTGCAAACGCTTCAGTGTAGCATAGCCAAAGGCATCTCGAGAGCTCGTGTAGCTGAAGTTATAGTCAGCAAGACTTTTTATCGTAGCAAGAGAAGGAGCTTTAAGAGACTGGGCTCTTCGGGGAAGTGTATGAGAAGACCCTGGTGGTACCAGGGATACAGAGTTGGATTTTGAGAGAGGCAGGTGGTTAGACTGTGGTGTTGAACACTGACTCGGTTTAACTGTCTTTGTGCTTACCACAGTACTCAAACTACCACAGTCAGTATCTACATTGGTAGTGTCCACACCTACAGTCTCCCTTGAAGGGCTAGAGCTCATCGAGCTTATGCCACTTGTTGTGGTATCTGTATTAAAACTTAAGCTACGACTCTTGAAATGTGTTTGTGTAGTACCATCTCCTATGAGCTTTTCTCTGCTTGTGTTTTCCCGATGTATCTCACTTCCAAGACCTTTTGGCAGCTTCAGATCATTTTCTCCAACACTTGGGGTACTGTCAATATCTTCCATGTGCTTACTTCCAACAAAAGAAGTTTCTAATCGTAAAGTCTGGATTTTAGGAACTCTGAAAACAGGGTTGAATTCTTCCCCAGCAGGAAAATCTATGCTACCTGAAGGTTCTGTTACTGTACGATTTCGCCTCAGGCCTGATTTACTCTCAGATGATGTCAGCTTTCCTCCCTTAGGATCATTGCTACTTCTGTGCTTTTTATTAGGTAGAGTAAGAGAGTTTAGAAAGCGATTTTTCACAAGCCTACTAGAAGAAAAAAAAGGAAAGGGACTGCGGTCTTTGTCCTTTGAAGGTCCAGGTCTGTCATAAAATATTTGTTCTGCATCTTCTGTAATATCTAGGAAGAATGTACTAGTGGAAGTACTACCAAAACGATCATCCTCCATGATGAACATACCTGAAATTATATGAGATGGTCACAGAAAATTGACATTTCTTCGAAGTTGATAAACCATGTTGCAATTCCATAGAAGACAAAGTGGGAGACTATGCAATTAACTGCAATTTTAACTGAATATTTTTTTTCTACAGAATTTAGTAGTGTAAATTAAGTATTCTGAGGAGTACTTTAGCTGAAAGTCTCATTGCTTCAAAAGAAAAGCCACACTAACTTATTTCAGTGCAAACACCCAGCTACTACAACTATCATTGATGCACTCCTTTAATGGTATCTAAATATGGCACATTTCTGGATTTAAGTTCCAGATAGCCACAGTAAAATAAAAATGTGTTTAGATACTAGAAATAGACAAGAATATAAAAACAAAAATACTTGTGTACACACAGAGAGAATACACGTATCTATATAGCTAAGCATGGTGGTTTCTGCAGTGCATTACAGCAAGCTGCTGTGACCTGACAAAAAATAGTTAACTTACCTTGATGCTGAAACTTAATTCTACATGAAATGTAAACCTAAGACAGTATTCTATTCCCTCTCACTTGTCTACATGCCTCTGAATGCATAAAACTGTCCCCTTGCTTGCACTCTTCTTTCTTGAAATAACACATTTACATCATTTGCCTGAACCTCATCCTGCCAAAAGGTTAGCAAGAACACCAAAATACTGTTTTGTGGTGGGTTTGGGGGTTGTGGTGGTTTTTTTTATTATTTTGTTGCTGTCATTACTTACTTGAAGGAGCAGATTCGCTTTCACTGTTATGCCTAGAACTGGTGGACTCAGAGTTCAAGCTAAGAGTGCTGGGTATAGAAGAAAGTTCGTTGCAGAGCTGCTCCATGTCATCAGGGACCACTGGCCAAGGCTGTCTACGACTGTGTCTCACTGCATCCCAGTTATGATGCTTCAAAATGTCACATCCTTGTTTAGTTTTGGCTATCAGACCAAGCACGTAGACACAGGTTCTGTATTGAATGTATATATAGAAAAAAAGAGCAACAATAATAGCATTATTAACTAAATAATAATAGCATAATTTAACTAAACTTATTTCTCTTCTGAAAGGAAACAGTTTCAAAACAATTCAGCAAAAACTTCACAAAACTGTCAACCAGTTTTGATTTCATTTGTCAATCTTTAGACGTTTAAGGAATTAAATAACTGTCATGGTTACAGGGGCTGAGACCAGTTTATCCTTATGTGGGTAGAACCAAAACTGTGTATTCTATACTCTCTATGTCAGTGGTCATGGGCTGTTAAGAAAATCATGGGTAACAGCTGCCCAGGACAGACCTCACATCCCAGGCTATAACAGATAAGGAAAGAAGTTCAAGGTCAGGGGAGATGTTAACACCTTCCCACCCAGCAGGAGGAGTCCTCCCTGTTAATGGGCCCATCCATGCCTCGCCCCATGACTCGTACAGAGCTCCCCCCAGGAGCTATTTCTGTTTAATGGACCATCAAGGACCCACTGCATGACTCATAGACTGATATCAACCCATTGTGAGATGCTCCACCCAGGGGGAGGAGCCAAGTGCTCCCACCTGGATATAAACTAGAGTTCAGCACAGCACAGGGGGCCTTACCCACTGGATTTCCAGAGGACAAGAGCTACCAGATCTTTTCTACGAGACCACTGTTTCATCTGGACTGCTACCACCACCCTAACTACGGATTATCAGGTTGTATTCTGACTCTGTTTGTGGTTTTCCTTTGTATTATTGCTTTTATTTTTTTTTTTTTATTAAACTGTATTTCTGACTTGGAGTCTCTCACTGGTTTGTTTTCAAACCATTACAATAACATATCTGAGAAAAATACAGTATTCAAAAAGAAAAGTGGATTCAAAAGTAAAAGTCTGATTACAAGTGGAAAAGTACCTTTCTTTTTTTAGAAAAGACAGATGTTAATGCAGTAATAATGTAAGGTAAAAGACCATTTTATTTATGCATTTAAAGACTCAAAAAAGATATAGAATAAAAATGATGGAATAATAAATTGATTCTAGAGACTAAATAGTAAATATTGTTTTTTAAAAAGGGAGAAAAGTAGTATATATATATTTTTCTTCACAGGTTTCATTTGCTTACAGCATGTTGAGACTTCCTAAAAATTCTGTGATTGCACAGGACTGAGATTGATGTTCAGTTATCACTGACCTTTAATAACCAGTTTTCAGGTATGTGCAAAGCTATACTCATATATATTGGGAAAGGCTATTAAAAAACGCATGGCAACTACCACCTGTAAATTTTATATATAAATCAGATATACATACCCTCTAACAGAGAGAACCTCACAATGCTGGGCAAGTGCCATTATGTCAGGAATTACATTCTCCTCTTGAAGCAAGTTAAGACCCCAGTTTGATGATCCAATATTGCCCTGGAATAAAAGTTTGTCAAGTAAGTGCTGCAGATCACATCAGAAACAAAACTATCAGTGTACAGCTTTCAACCTTTCCTGTTGTTGTAGCACAGTTCAAGCCACATCTTCTCAAAGCAATTAGAGATTGGAGCACCCTTTTTGGCATTTCCTGGTTGTGCAAATGCAAAAAAAAAAGACTTGGCATGCTGTTATACCTAAAGCTACACACAATTTACTACTATGTATTTACTACTATGTATTCCTTATTTTAGCCATTTTACTACAGACAGCAGCAGTACAATCATGGTTTACTGATCCTGCATTCTTCTTACACAGGCTTTTTTTACATACCTACCATACTTTTCAGTGACAGTAACCTTGGACTAATGTTCCAAAATACATTTCAAGGAAGACAAGAAAGAAGCAGATGAACAGTTAGGGTGGCAAAGCCAATTTAGAAGTTTTTGGGAAAGGCACAGTAGGTTTGTGCTTATCCCAAGTACCATGAATGTCATGACCACATACATTCACATGCATCAGCAGTCACAGCCAACTCTCATCCAGAAACAATGGATTTTAGACCACTGCCATAAACACATTAAAAACAGACCACAGCAACCTGTAACTACTCATTCCATACTAACATTGTTGCTGCAAGTGGCAAATGGCTCTTCTTATTTGTTAAAAAAGAAAATGACACAGTGGCTATTAAAAAACTCAGGACAGAAATGATGCAGTGAAACATTCTCAACTGAAAGGCAGGCACAGAATGCCAGCTTAGAAAAACCACACACGTTTTATGGCAAAAAAACATATCGATGATTTTATGGAATTTTGTTATTTTAAGAGTCATAACAGAATTCAAACAACTGCAGAAAGTTTGTAAATCTATTACTGACCAAGGCCCAAAGGGCTGCTTTCAGCTGCTTGATTCCTTCCCACTTATCCAGCATTGGGGAACGAACAGTGTAACTTAGATCTGTAACAATACTCTAAAGGAGAAAAACAGAAGACAAAAAAAACCTCAGCTGAAAATGAAAAGGAGTCCACAATCAAACAGGTTCTCTTATAGTTTTAATAAAAGGTAAAGCACTAATTTAAAGTATGCACCGCAAAATGAATAGTAGTAGTTCTTGAATAGTAAGCATAAATTAACACCAGTGGTAATTCAAATAGAGCAATTAATTGCAAACACTAACTGCATCAATTCAGATTGATTTAACAGATCAGACTGGCACACTGCAATATATGAGCATTCCCTTGAACTTTTCAACTATCATATGAAATTCATTACACCATCTTGCAAACCCACATTGGAAGCAAATTCATTTAAGCAAAATGACAAAATGGCTTAGGGTTTGTTTTCTTAGACTTCAGGATACTAGAAAGAAGATTTTATTTCCCTATCTCCAGGGCTGTTACTTGCATAAAAAGATCAGCAGAGTTTTACCTGGCAATACACAATTCACTCACAGACATTGAATAATTATTTCTACTGGTGAGTGGCTTTCCATTCTAAGATTCTGCTAGTTGTTTTAAGAAAAATATTGCAATTTTAGTGTCAGGAAGGAATTTTACATGAGACTAGATGGCAAAGACTGACTTCACAGCTTTCAGACCTCATATAACTTAAAATTTTCATAATAATTTATTTTGCAATGACTGTTTAAACATTCTTTTAAAAACTTACTTACAAAGGGTACAGTGCTCTTTAAAATCTTTCACATTACAAATAATTATTATTCTCACCTGAGACTCCAATAAATGGCAGCCCGTTTTATGGTGCACCAGCTGGCCATAAAGGTGAACTGGCAGGTAGACATGTGGTCGCTGTAATCTGTCAGAAAAAGAAATCATATGCTTTCCCAGCAATTTTGACATTTTATGTTAAAATAAATTATACTGCTGTGTAATGCAAAAAGTTACTTGTAGAATAGAGTATTTCAGTTGGAAGGGGCTTACAACGACCTTCAAGTCCAACTGCCCAACCACTTCAGAGATGACCAGAAGTTAAAGCATGTTATTAAGGACATTGCCTCTGAAACACCAACAGGCTTGGGGCATCGACCACCTCTCCAGGAAGCCTGTTCCAGTGGCTGACCACCCTCTCAGTAAAGAAATGTTTCCAAATGTCCAGCCTAAACTCCCCTTGATGCAGCTTTGAACCATTCCCACACATACTCTCACTGGGTATCTAGAAGAAGACACCAGCATCTCCTGCTCCACTACCCCTCCTCAGGAGGCTGTAGAGATCAATGAGGTCATCCCTCAGCCTCTTTTTCTCCAGACTAGACAAACCCAAAGTCCTCAGGTGTTCCTCACAGGACATTCCTTCCAGCCCTTCCACCAGCTTTGCTGCCTTTCTCCAGACACAAATATTCAAGTCCCTTCACATCCTTCCTAAACCGTGGGGCCCAGTGTTGCACCCAGCACTCCAGGTGAGACCACACCAAGGCTGAATGCAGTAGGACAATCCCCTCTTCTGACCAGCTGTTCCTGCTGGGCTTGATGCTCCCCGGGATGTGGTTTGTCCTCTTGGCTTTCACGGCACCCTGCTGACCCACACTGAGCCTGCTGTCAGTCAGCACCCCCAAATCTTTCTGCAGGGCTGCTCTCCAGCTACTCCTCTCCCAGCTTACACTTCTGTCCAGTGTTACTCAGTCTAGGGTGCAGAATACAGCAATTGGACTTACTAAATTTCATCCCCTTAATCACAGACCAGTGCTCCAATCTATCTAGGTCCTTCTGCACAGCCTCTTGTCCCTCAAGAATCAACAGCACCTCAGTTTGGATCATCAGCAACCTTGCTAATGGTTCCCTCAACTCCTGCATCCAGACTGTTGATAGATATATTGAACAGAACTGGGCCTAGACTTGAGCCCTGCGTAATAACACTGGTGACCAGTGACCAGGCAGATATAGCCCCTTTCACTACAACCCTTTAAGCCCTGCTGTCCAGCCAGTTCTTCACTTGGCGCATCATAAACCTGTCCATCACACACTTGGACGTGTCCAGAAGAATGCTGTAAGGGACAGTATCAAAAACCTTACTAAAACCAAGAAAAATTACATCCATCGCCTTCCCTTCATTGACCAGGTGGGTGACGTTACAGAATGGTATCACATTAGCTGAATGGCACTCTCCCTATGTGAATCCACGCTGACTATGTCTTATGATTGATTTATTCTATAAATTCTTTGAAAGTACCCACTATAGTCTTCTCCATAATTTTTCAGGAACTGAGGTTAGACTAACAGGTCTGTAGTTTCCCGAGTCTTCCTTCATGACTTTCTGGCAAACTGGAATAACACTGGCTACCTTCCAGTCAGTAGGGACCTCCCCAGACTCCCAAGGCTTTTAGTAGATGATCAAGAAGGAGCCTGCCATAACATCTGCTAGCTCCTTCAGCACTCATGAAACACAACGGAACTCATCAGGCGTCACGGACTTCTGAACATTCAGCTGACACAGCTGGTCCCCTACAGTTTCAGTGTCCACAAATGGAAAGTCACCACTCCCACATTTGATGTCCTCCAACTCAGGGGATTAAGCAGCCCAAGGTCTATCAGTATTATTTTGGGTTAACACTTGGACTTGAGGACCTTAAAGGTCTCTCTAAACCAAAATGATTCCATGATTAAAAACTGATGAAAAAAAAGTATTGAATGCTTCCCCTTTTTCTTCATCCCTGTTAGTCAGCTGACTATCTTCAATAACTATCAGTACAATGTTTTATTTAGACCTTTTCTTGCTATTAACATACTGGAAGCCCTTCTTGTTGTCTGACAACTGGTCAGTTTCAATTCTAATTAAGTTTTGGTGTTTCTTGTCTTCTCCCTGCATATATGAACCACGGCTCTATAATCTTCCTGTGAAGCCTAACCTTGCTTCCAGAGATAACAAAATTGCTTTTTTTCTGTTGAGCTCTGTGAGGAGTTCCCTGACAGCCAAGCTGGTCTTCTGCCCTGTTTGCTTGACTTAACCAAAAATGTTTCTAAAAGGTGGTTCTTAAAAAACTGACCAGCATCCACAGACTCCTAAGCCTTCAAAAGCTCCCAGGGTACTCTGCTAAATAGCTCCCTGAGTTTGCTCTCCAGAACTCTACGGTAGCAACTCTGCTGCCCTTTTTTCTCATTACATTGAAAATTTTAAACTCAACCATTTCATGATCTCTGTGGCCAAGACAACCACATACCACCATATTTTCCACAAGTCCTTACATATTCACAAAAAGCAAGTCTAGAAGGACATCTTCCCTAGATGGATCACTGAGTACTTTTAACAAGTATTTATCTCCTAGAAACTTCAAGAATTTCCAAAGACCTGCTCACAACAGCAGTATGACATTCCTAGCTGGTATCTGGCAAGTTGAAATCTTCCATAAGGACAAGGGCTACCATTCCAGAAGTTTCTCCTATTTGCCTACACAGTAATTCACTGGTGCCAACATCCTGGCTCGGTGATCAGTAGTAGGCACTCAGTCCCATTCCTCCAACCCTCACCCAGAGGCTCTCAAACACATCATCACTAACTTTAAGGGCTCTACAATCAAACCTGTCCCCTACAGAGGGACACCTCCACCACACCTGCCCTGCCTACTCCTTCAGCACAGCCTGAACTCTCCATCCCAGCACTCCAGACACGGGTCCAATTCCACCAAGTTTTGTTAGTATCAATAATATCATAGCTCTGGGAAGTGACCAAAGCTTCTAGTTCATCCTGGAATGGATGTTTGTTTCTCACAGTGCACCAGTGTACAAACATTTCAAAAATGCTCCTGAGCCCTCCATGCTCCCAGAAGCAGTGTGAGTGTTCCCACTAGCACTGCTACCCTCTGGAGATGCCGTACCAACCCGTGGCTTACCCACTGCAATCCTGTTGGTATTCCCTTCCCCCAGAGGTTCTAGTTTGAGGCTGTCTCCATCAATCCCACTAGCTTGTGGCCAAAGACACATTTTCCCAAATTTACCTTTGGTTGCTCCGACGAACATAGTTATCACCATCAACAGGTTTGCGGTATGTTGTAAGTGCTTCATTAAGTTGTTCTTCAATCAGTTCAACATACTTCAGGTTATATTCCTAAACAAGGACAGACAAAATTTGACACAATACATTTAGTGGTTTATGTTTTTATAGTACAATGCTTTATAAGGAAGGAATACTGGAAGTGCTTGTTAAGGCAGAATGAAATTCTTCACAATCTAAAGGTGATCTAAAGGTGGGGCTCAGACTTATTGCACTTCATACATACAGTGAGTTTGCAGAGACGACTCCATAATTATTTCAGTGAATTTGTGAAAAAAGGAACAAAGAAAATGCTTAACATCTGACTGTAATCAAATGATCTCAACAGACTACCATACATTTCAGTATTCCTAGAAGTGACAGCTCGTAAATTAGTAAAAAAACTGCCAACATGAATAAGAACAAACACTTATAATCAATTGTGAATATAAAATAGTCTATGAAGTACTTTAGTCATGACAATGATGCATTTTTCTTAATGGTTTTGTGTTTCTATTTACTTGCAAACAGCATAAGCTAATTCTACCTTCATGAGCTCTACATTTAAGTAGCAACAACCAGAGGTAACGGGTATCTTGAAGAACAAGTATCCCTTTACACACATCTCTAGGTAAGACCTTACCCAATGATCTATTTCAGAAACTCACTATAATTCTGAAATATTTGCTGAAATATGGGAATTATATAAAAAAGGCCTGGGCAAGTCAAAAGTATGCATCTATAGAGGAGCTATGGACCTGTAAGTCCCTTGCAACCTTTTTCAGCAAAATCATTAAGTCACTGAGGCAACAGATATATTGGTATTAGCAATACACATATATGAGTACACAGTATTTTTAAGAATCTTTGACCTTCTAAACTTGCATATTCATAACCTTCCTCCTCCTAATATCAAGCACGCTATTTTTAACATTACCTTTTGCCACTTCTCCATTTGTTTTGTAACATAGCCTCTTTCATTTAGATATGAAAACCCCTTTGGGATGGACAGAAATCTGTAAAGTAATATTAGACAGTTTAATACATCACTTAAATCACAATCTGTATAAAAATAAACATTTGTTCCCACAATATAAATTCAAACAGCACATTCAACATTTACCTTAGGAGTAGAAGCAAACCCTTGTCTCCAAGATGAGAAAGAGCTGGTTTCATTTGGATAAGGGCATGAAGATTGGCCTAAAACAATTAAAAATGTTTAAGGAGTATCTCAGCACTGTGTAATTCTAAAAAATACCATTAGAACAATCTGCCAGCAATGAAGCAGCAAATTTTTCACAAAAGGAAGTATCAAACAGCACTAATCTCATTCTGATATTTTGCACTTCAGGCATCTTCTGTCACTAAATAGATATTACTTCACAAAAGTATAATGATGAAAATAGCTGAATAAGCCTGAATTTGTATTTAATAGTAGGTATAACAAAGAAGTCTACATTTGTTATTAATATTGAATTATTTTCAGCAAGCAAGTCTATAAACTATTATGAAGACTATTAACGACAACTGAGAAAGGAAGTAGCTTCTGTCATACTTTTAACTTGCTGCTGGGGGAGGGGAACAGCTTCCAGAGTAGCATACCATAATGAGGTTGGAAAGGGAAAGGATACTCACCTTGTCTTCACATGCCTCATCTAGAATATCAAGTGCCTCAGAAGAAATAGTTTTATTTTTATCATGTAACTGGGTCACCAGTAACTCAATCCCCCAGTTGCTGAAGAACTCTACATTTGCTCTCAGTAATACTCGTAAGTGTTTTGTTGCATACAATCTGCAGCTCTGCAAAAGTAAGGAAAACACTTTTTTGAATGGAAGCACAACAGGTAATGTAGTTAATGACTTATCTTTAAAAAAAAACAAAAAAACAAACATTTCAATTACCCTATTTTCCGGCAAGTAGCTTTAATGTACACCTTATGTATTAAAACTATATACTATTAGAGAGCTTTTTAGAATTTACCAAATGAGAAATTTGAGTCCAAGATCACAAGTAATCTGGTCACTGCAAGTCTCCTTGAAAAGCCCTTATCAATTAGTCATTCACTAGCACCACACAGTCATCCACAAAAATATTTTGTAAATGGCCAGTGGAATGCATATTTTTTCATGTATGCAATGTTTTGCAAAAAGCTTTAAGAAACATATCTTAGAACCTCTGGGGAATTTACTTCAATAAATTTTAAATTATTTCCCCAAAGTATCTTATCTTCAAGATCTCTCAGAAAACCTTCTAAATAAAAAAAAAAAAAGTTATTTTTCTAATTAGATAGCTTCCCAACACTTAGTTTACTACTATGAATTTCTCCAAGTGACAGCAGAATGAAGCACCCTGTCAGTGTCTGTATTGCTGTTCAAAACTTGATGAATAAACTGCATAAACTTAACATTACTTTCTATTAAAACAAACAAACAAAAACATACAAAATAGAAGCAAACAGGTTTAATATATAAGAATTTGCAGTGTCCTGAAGTAAGCACAGAACAACACTGACAATCTAGGCTTACTAGGAAAGGTGTCATCTATACTTACAAAAGCCTATCTAGAAAAGATAAAATGCAGTGCATAAATCTTTTTTCATGTCTTCAGTCCATACATCTTTAAGGCTGTGACAGCTACAGTAAACTAAATTTTCTGGATGTTAATATATAAATTATTTATGTTGGGATGCATGTGAATATCTGTACTCCAAAAGACAAGTGAATTGTCCAGGTTGGACAGTACTACATAGGTTAACAACTTCTTCTGGATTTTTTTGCCTCAAGAAATATCTGGCAAGCAGGACTTGAAAGAAAATGAAAGTAAGAAATGTGAACGTGAATTTCTACTTATTCAAAATATATAGGCTTATTTTTTAGAGGAGAGGAAGGAATGGCATAACACAAGTAGCAAGAAAGACTGTGGAACAGTGATTTGCAACTCTGCCCTAAGCTGCAGAGCCATTTTTAAATGGCTTGCATCCCCTGTGGAATAACGATCAGCAGCATATTTATTAAATATGAGAACAAGAGTGATTATGCTAAAATGACCACTTGATTGAGATGCTAACCCTACAGAGTAACACAATAATATGAAACCATAATACAGTGTCATGTAGTTCAGATGTCAAAACCTGTCTATGAAAAATCATTACAGCTGTAACTATGCTGAGTGCAATAGAGGGAACAGAAGATAACAGCGTTCACTTCCTGAACATGAAATAAGCTATGCAGATAGCTAGCACAGAATAAGAACAATTTTTATTTTCTGCCTGGAGAAGGAAAAGAGAAGAAGGAAAACATGCCTCTGATGGGAAAACAAAAAGGCTTATACAATTTACTGCAGATAAATGTGAATCAAAGAGCTGAAGTGAAAAAATAATCCCAGCTTTGCACACACAACGGGCTCTGAATCAGCTCTTTCCACCCAGGAAAAAGATCCTGAGGCTAATATTAGTTATTTCAAGTCTGAGTGCTGGATAGAAGTTCAGTGTCAACCGAAAACACTAAAAGCAAGCGGGAAAAAAACTCAGATCAGTATTATCACTATGCAAATCCACAGGGCGATGACATCTTGGACACTGTGTGCAGTTCTGGTTTTCTTATCACAATCAGAAAGAAAAAGAACAATTAAAAGATGACGAGAAGCTCATCATGAGCTGGCAGTGCACTCACGCAGCCCAGAAGGCCAGCAACATCCTGGGATGCATCAAGAGGGGTGTGGCTGGCAGGTCAAGGGAGCTCGTTCTCACCCTTTAGTCAGCTCTTGTGAGACCTCACCTCAAATAGTGCATCCAGTTCTGGTGTCCCCACCATAAAAGGGACATAGGTCTGTTGGAACAAGTCCAAAGGAGGGTCACAAAGATGATCTTAGGGGCTGGAACACCTCCGCTATGAGGACAGGCTGAGGACACAGGGGATATTCAGCATGGAGGAGACTCCTGGGGGACCTTATAACTGCCTGTAAGAGACAGGACACTCGAATATGTCTCAGCGTTGCTGGGAGGACCAATCAGAGTTCTACCCTGCAGAAGTCTGCACCTTGTTGTGCAGGTGCCATATGGCTAACCAACCAAACCAAAATGAGTTCTATGACTTCAGTCCTCTGTGTGTGTGGCCGGGCCCAGAGTAGTGTACTGGAGGGCTCAGACCCTCAGAAACATCCAGAGCTGCCCAGCCATGGCCCTGCGCAGCGCAGCACCGCTGAGTGGGAGGCGTGGTGATGGGAAGCTGGTGGCTGGGAGGCATGGCTGTACACAGCAGGGGTGGCTCCTCCGCACACAGGCAGAACCAGTGAGGATGGGAGGTCCCCACCTCTCACCGGACTGATCACTCCTCAGGAATGCTCTGCCGCCGGAGCGATGGGATCCATGGGACACCAGAGGCCTGCACTGGCAGCCAGCTCACCTCTGTCTCTCCTATGTGCTCTCTCCCTCTTTTTATCCTCCTCCCATCTTTTTTTCTTTTGCAAACCTGTTGCCAGTGGGCAAATAAACAGTTTGGTGCTTGCCTCCATTTTAAGTCACGTGAAAACCTGGCCCTGGACCCTGACAGGTATGAGACACTGCCTTCCAATACCTGAAGGGAACCTACAGGAAGGCTGGAGAGGGACTTTCACAAGTGTCCAGCAATAGGACAAAGGGAAATGGTTTTAAACTGCAGGACAGTAGAGTTAGATTGGATCTTAGGAAGAAATTCTTCAGTAGGAGGGTGGTGAGCCCCTGGAATAAACTGCTCAGATTGGTTGTGGATGCTCTCCCCTGGAGCTGTTCAAGGCTGGGTTGGATGATGCCTTGAGCAACCCAGGCCAGTTGAGGCAAGGAGGTTGGATTAGATGACCTCTAGGGACCCTCCCACCCTAAGCCATCCTATGATAAAGGGACGTAAAGAACAGTAGAACAGGGTTTTAAGTAATTGAACATACGGAAAAGAGTCTTAACAACAAGGAATGACTTGGACTAAGATGCTCAAACATTAGGCCTGGGGAGAAAACCACTGCTTGCATTTCCAGGTGTCCAAAAGTCTTCAAGCAGGTTCACAGCCTTTGTGAAGCAAGATCACCTGCATTCATTCCCCGGACCAGAAGAGCAAAACCCTTTTTCCATACGAAGCAAAATCCTGGAATGTTTTTAACTTTTGATGAGAACTGATAACAAAAGCAGTGTAGAGGACATCTTAAGGAATCAAACACTTCCCCCATGCCCTCATGTGTGAACTACATGAAAAATGTAGACAAAACCATGTTTTACATCTGCCAGAAGATTCATACTTCTACTGTTAAGGTGCTTTGAGACCCTTAAAAGTGAAGAAGCAAGTCAGAGGTCACTACGCTCATCTGATTACATAGAGATCAGCCTAGATGCCAGTAAGTGTGGGCCAAGTTTAGCCCTTAGCCACCTATGAAGAACAGATAGGTCATGAACTGCAGCACTTGAGGACACACTGGCTACTCTGCTTTTTCTAGCATGAACTGGCAGCTGAGGCAGTATTAATAATTTGCTTTAGCAAATTTAGTAGGTTAAGATGTAGATCAGTGAAGCAGAAGCACAAGGAAATTGCTTTGTAAATATTTTCATTCTATACAGTCACCCCAAAATGCTACTATCCTCTTCTAATGCTAAGCTTGCCACTGAAATCACTCTTCCTTGTTTAGAGACACTCAATAGCAAACGGCTAACAAACCTGCTTCACAGCTCTGGGTAGCTTTAAAAGGTGTATGAAGCTATAACCTCAGTTAACCCAAGGGACAAAAAGTCCGCTTCTGTAGTAAACAGATAAGGTATACATTAACAAATGTCTAAGGGAACTGAAATTTCTGCATGAAAGAAGCCTTACTGGAGATAGTCTTTCTCCCTTAATTTCTGAAAAGCCATGTTTTTTATGTCCAGTCCCATACATTTTTATTGCTTTTAAACAGAATTTAGAAACCAGAGGCAATGTATAGAATCAAAATCACAGTATGTCTTCTGGATTAGGAATACATACAAACCCTTCCAGAGGCTTACTATATAGGCTTCACTCATCCTATGAGGACCTCATCAGAAGTCCATGAAAAGGAAAGGTGGAAGGGCTTGCAGTTCAGTTCAAATAAAGTACTTACATGTTCATTTTTAATTGTAGGATTCACTTGTCCAAGGTGACAGAATGTCAGTTCTGGTAATCTTTAAAAATATATTCTCCTTATGGGACAGAGCAGTGAGTGGTATAAACTGTGCCAAGTTTCAATTTTTTCCTATCATGCTTACTAAATACAAAGGAGTAAATTGTTTTGCTGTTGACAATGCTGCTGTTTCAAAATTCCAGGCTGTAAAACCCAGAAAATGGCAGATACCTTCCCCCGAAAGCTAACCCATCAGTACTTCCAAACTACTCCTCGGTCAGTTGAACTGCCCATGCAAATACCTTTCAGTTAAATATTGCCATTGTCTTTACGGTACCTTATTTTCTCAGAACTGACAACTATTTCCCGTCTCACATGAATACATTACATTTCTGGAAGAGAATTGTAGTTTTGCCAACTACAGTTATTCTAAAATACCACATATACCACTATGGATACAGTAAATACCACAATAATCAAGTTTCATCCTTTGGATTAGGTTTTTTTACATTTTGATCTGCTATTGGCAGTACAAACACGAGAAACATCAAAGACAAGCATTTTGCCCAAGAGATGGTACTGGCAATGCCATGTACACCAAGAACTGCAAAAGGGTTATCTGACAGGTGAAGTGCTGGGGTCAACCCTCAGCCCTGAGTGAGGGTTGGCATATGGATGATGTCCACAACCAGGCAAGAAAGACCCTCCTGACTGGTTTTCACCCAGGGTCTGGCCAGCCTTGGGTGGAAACTGATTAGGAGATACCACCAGGTGCCCTCATCTTCCATATTAACTTGGAGGCAGGGCAAGAAGCCACCTCTGTAAGAGCTGACTGCAATGAAGTTGGGAGGCTGCCTACACAGTGCTTGTGCTGTGTGGGGATTCCGGTTGTTGGAAAGACTCCCTGACTTCTTGGTCCAAGTGTCCAAGTGGAGTTCCCAGGACACCAGGGCAAGATGATGAGTCTCCCTCCCTCTGGGAAACTACTAGATGATAGGACTCATCACCTGGCTGATTCCATCTCCCACAGCCGGGTTCTGGAGTCAGCTCGCTCCTTTCTTCACACAATATGCATTGAGTGAATGTGCTTATTTGTTCCTCCCTCCAGTGGTTCGGCACCTTAGATCATTTACGTGTGATTTAAGATCAGAGGGATTGATCTGGCTGCTGGCCTGCCCATTGATGATGATATCTTTCCCCATC